TAGCCAGTTTGTAGGCACGTGCGCCCGCCGGTTTTAGCGCGCATTCCGGTGCGAGGCTCTGTCCTCCGACGATAACATCTGGGCTCGCCGCTGGATCCTCAACCTTGCAAAGTATACACATGCACCACAGAATACAGAATGAATATATCATATTACATGAACCACAGCCCTGTAGCTATGCGGCTAGTGGGAGACAAAGCGGAATCCTGACTGCGCGGTATACTGCGCCTTGCCGCTTGTGGTGGCCGCCTCGATGTTACCGGAGCTTCGGTGGATTGCGGAAGTCAAACAGACCATCGCGGATCCAGTGTTTAGCACACATGGACTCGGTGATGGTCTCTGGTGACAAGGAAGCTCGATGGTCTGTACAGAGGTGACGAGATGATGAGAACAACCTCTCGGCGGCCACACTCGTGGCGGGAATGGCAAGCACATCCCGAGCAATGCGTGAAAGAATTGGGAAGGATCCCTCATGGGCCTAAGACACCAATCAAACCTCAGATAGATGAACCCGATTAAGAGAGGCCTCGCTGGCTCACCTTCCACCAACTCAACACTCCATCATCGCCGTCGGCCTTGCCACCCTCGTTCTTGAGATAGCGAGTGAGCTCCGAGAGGACGTTGTCCTCCGGGGGAGGTTGGTTGTCCAAGTTCTCGTTTTCGTCATCAGGCTCTTCAAATGCCAGTGCTTTGTGCAGGAAGCTCGAGGGCTGCTCGGAGCGAGACTTGGAAGGGGCAGACGAGGCGACAGGTGGCTCGTAGGTCTTTGCATACTCCTTGAAGACATGCTCGAGCATGGTGCGAGCTTTCTCCGCAACATCTTCTCCTTTGAATGCTGACTCCAGGTACCTGAGACGGAGGGAGGGATGGAGAACTGAAAAGAAGCATCACAAAGTTAGCCCTGGGCTTCGCTCCGAGCCTGGTCATGCCGAGCCACTGCAGCGAGCTGAACACGCCTGAACGGTGCACGATAGTAAGCTGCACAGCGCGTTGCGCATGGGATGAGCTGCACGCATCGCGCGATATGGGCAGCAGCCAGCATCGCGCCTAAGGTGAGCCACGCACGTCGCGGGGTTCCAGGCTGCATGCGTCGTGTGTCGTGAGCTGCACACATCGTGCAAAACAAGCCGTGCGCACCGCGCGAAACAAGCCGTGCGCACCGCGCGAAACGGGCCGTGCGCATCGCGCGAAACGGGCCGTGCGCATCGCGCGAAACGGGCCATGCGCATCGCGCGAAACGAGCCATGCACATCGCGCGACACGAGAGGCTGTACGCATCGCGCGCAACGAAACGTACCGTGTACGCATCGCGCGCAACGAAACGTACCGTGTACGCATCGCGGCGCGCAACGAGCCATAGGCATCGCGCGCTACGAGCCTTACACGCCGCACGCAACAAACCACACACGTCGGGCCCACGAAATAATGCACGGTGCGGGCCAGACAACACCGCCTTTTCACAGGATTTGGGGGATTGAGATGCAGGGAGTGCTCACCGCATGCAAGAACTGTGTAGTGTGACTCTAGAGCGAGCCTGAAGTACTTGTTCAGCTTCTCGAGTCCTCCTCGGGCACCGGTGCGCAATGCGGGCGAGGTGTTGGGGTTGTTCATGTAGTCTGTGAGCTCTTTTTTCATCTGGCGATAGAGTGGGATGACGAGAGGGAGTGTAGGTCGATTTTTGTATGAAACCTCCTTGGTGACGGTGGTGAAGATCTGCCGCAGTGCCAACATGTTAAACATAGTATGCTCGCCGCTGGAAATCGTCATTCAAGAGGAGTAACTTACCGAAAGTAGCTCGTCTAACTCCTTGATGAGATCCCATTCCTCGGGCAGGAGAGTCAGCACTCTGAAGGCCTTCTCCTTCTCAACCCACTGGTCGATAGCCTGAGATTTGCAGTCAGTGTGTGTAGTATGTGGCAGGGAGGTAGCTCACCTCTCGAAGCTCCCTAGCACGATGAGTCATCCCACGGGTAGAGTTCCATCGAGTGTTGACATCCCGGATAACCATAAGGCGGCGGAGTCGGACATGTTCAGGTGTATTGTCAGGATAGATGGCACAGGTGATGCGCCGGAAGAGAGCGCGGCGTTGAGGGGAGGAAGTGATCTTCGTGCAGATGAATCGGAGCTGTCGGCGAGGCTGGTCAGCATTCCCAGGGCGAAGCGCACTGCGCAGTGATCTGACGGCGGACACGCAGCGTCGTGCACTCACCTTCTCCAGTGCATTCTTTGCACTGAACTCAGACACCTTCCTATACATCTCGCTCACCTCCTTCACCTCAACCTTCTTATCAAGCTCAGCCTCTTCAGCCTCCAACACCCTCATCTCGGCATCTGAAAACTCCGGAACCTCAGCGTCTATCTCGTCCTCCAAGTCCCTATCGTCTGCAAACTCGTCGTCGGGAGGTTCATAATGGAAAGGCAAGTGCTTGTGCAGTTCCTTGTAGTAGTCTTTCTTGTCGGGATCAGCGAATTGGGGCTCTCCGTTCTCGGTTGGTGGGCTAGATGCATTTAGAAGGTCGTGTATCACCTTCTGGACGACGAGATTGACTACATGCGCAAAGCAGTGGATTCGGCCATTGTCGGGATGGAAGTGGACTGCTCCATCGTAGCGTTCAAGGAGCAGGCGCATCAGCTCTCGAGCGAGAACATCATTTGCTGCGACGTTATCTCCGGTCAGTGCTATGAGGTGGATGAAGCCGGTTGGGTCGTCAGCCACGGACGATTGGTGAAGACTTGCTACAAAACTTATCTTCCTCAGCCCGCCTCGTGCCGCGACCGCTCTAACGAACGCCCGTGCACTCGCCTTTCCCTCATGTTCGTCCTCTCCTACATTGTAGAAGTTGACAACTCGTTCTATCAGCTTCCAGTCATCGTCAATGAAGTGAGCGAGGGCGGCGCCGAAGGTATGTATCATTTGCTTGTTCGTCCACGTGTCTGTTGAGAATGCAATACGAGATTTAACGCGCTAAGCAGAGCTCAGTGTCGGGAATGCGCTATCAACAAGCAAGTTCACTCACCGAGAGCTCTCGAACAATGACGGTGTGCAAGTATTTGAAGATGCGCTTCACCTCAGTGCGGACGGTCTTGTCAGAGGGAAGCAAGAAGCGGATTCGGCAGTAATGCATCAAGCTCTTGAAGGACGTTGCTTCGGCGGTGGTGAAAGGTAAGTCTTCATACAGCAACCATCCTGCGATCACAGTTGTGAATCCCTGCTGTGTAGCCGAGCCGTTCGGGTCAAATGGACCGCCATGCATGTACCCCTCGAAGGCGTCCACATCCTCCCGGTTGTAGAAGGAGCCGTCCTTTGAGCCTCCAGTGGTCTTGGTCCGATTCGCCCACTCCAACTTGCCGTTCCCAGCCAGGTACGAGTCAATCTCCGCATCGCCCTGAAGCACTGCCGGATGATCCTGCTTCAGATGTGAAGCAAGATTCGCCAGCGACGGCTTGCGAGGCTCATCTTCCCAGAGTGCGTCATCTCCCTTGAGAGTCCGAGAGAAAGAGCGAACACTGATCATAATCTAACCTGTTAGCCACAGCTCAACATATCATGCAACTGGTGTGCTGCTCACGCATTGCAATGACGACAAGTAAACGTCCATCTGAGACCCTTGTGAGGGTCGTTTGTTGGTCTTGCAACACTCCAATGCACGATTGAACGGTTCTTCGGCCCCCGCTGCTGACCGCGCGCCTCGGCCTTCTCCGCTTCTTCAACCTCGACCTTGTGCAACGCACCCTCACCATCCGAGATCTCAATGGCATCACTAGAAACGTTTCCACGCGATCGCTACATCATTGAGGTAAGCATAGCTCACTGCCAATTAGAACAGTTTACTCACTTTTGGTCGTTTATATCTGCCAGAAGAGGACCGCCGCCGCCGCTTGCTCTTTGAAGCGGCGGCAGGCTGCTTTCCTTTCCCGCTCACAACCTCTTCAGTGGAGTCGTTCAATGAGGTGGCATTGGACTGGCTCCCATCCCGGCTTGAAGTGCAGTCGTCAGTAGTCTCACCATCGATGTTGTGGACCTTATGCTTCCCGGAGTTGTGTTTCAACCGAGTCTTCGGCAGCTCGTAGGTCTTGTCCCTTGGGTTGTCATCGTTTGCCTCACTAATTTCTGTGAGTAGACTAGCTGTCGTTGCTAGTAGGATGTGATAAAGTTCCTTGTAAGTGCACATTCTTCCTGGGCAGTGAACAATGTAGCTCATCGCATCGACGTGTACATTGTACACACTGCAGCCTGCCGCGCTCGACGCATACAGCTCGCCACGCCCGCCATGGTCAATATAGGTCAAAATGTGCAACGTGCACGACGCATGTCACTCAACGCGCTCAATGCACGTCACTCAACGCGCCCGACGCACGTCGCTCAACGCGCCCGACACACGTCACTCAACGCGTGTGGCGGACCTCGCTCAACGCGTGTGGCGGACCTCGCTCAACGCGTGTGGCGGACCTCGCTCAACGCGTGTGGCGGACCTCGCTCAACGCGCGCGACGCACACCGCTCGACGAACGCGACGCACACCGCTCGATGAACACGACGCACACCGCTCGACGAACGCGGCGGACCTCGCTCGACGCGCACGACGCACATCGCTCGACGAACGTGACGCACATCGCTCGACGAACGCGACGCACATCGCTCAACGTGCGTGACGCACATCACACATCACTCGACGGACATTGCTCAACGCACATCGCTCGATGCACGTCGCTCAACGCGCGCGATGGACATCGCTCAACGCTCAACGCTCGATGCTCGACGTGCATCGCACGTTGCTGGAAGTGCGTGACGCCGCACGCATGAGGCTTGCCGCGACGTGGGCAGCTCACCGCACGACGCAACGCACCAGGCAGCTCATTGTCGCATGCGTGACAATGCGTGCAGACAGTCGGCGCCGCACTCAACACGGGGCCCTCAATGCAAGTGCGCAATCCAACTCATACCCTCATGGTATCGAGGGTAGGGGTACAGGTGGGCCTTCGACTACCCGAGAGAATGCACTATTGCTCACCTTTCACATTCTTGTGTGCTCCCTTCGGGACAGGTCCAGCCTTAGTGGCGGCACCGGTGCGTGCCCGCTTCTTCTTCTTGGTGCCTGGCTTCTTATAGTTCGGGTCCAGGATCTTTTCTGCCAGTGCAGCGAGCGCATTCTCAGTCGTAGCAGTGGAGCTGCCCGCACCAGCCTCGTGGCCCAATGTCCTTTCACCCAGAGACCCCGGAATAGTAGTGCCAGCCAGCGACTCGACCGGAACTCCACTTCGAAGAGTTTCAATTGGCAATACAATCGGAATCCGGATGTGCAGAACGACGTACCTCAGGTGGGCGACCTCGGTGAGTAGTCTCTTCAGCTTGATGCGCATCACATTGTACTGAAGCTCGGCTTCATATCGAGCAAGGAGCACGCGAATGTCCTTGATGACCATATCGAGCCCGCACGCCCCACGACGGAGGTGATGAAGACGCCCGGTCACTGGGTCACGACAATCCTCTCCAAAGAGGATGTCGAACCGCCGATTGAAGGTTTCCCAAGCAGTGTCGCCATGGGTTTTGGTCATGATGATGTAGATTTTGTCGTTCTCGTTGCCGATCGGAACACTTGAGGGCAAAGATTTGGCGGCAGTTGCAATGGAATTGACGATAGTAGCCATCTCAAGCAGAGGAGAAGATAGAGGGACTGTGGCGGCAGCCATGGAGGACGATGGCGAGAGGAATCCAGACAGTTTAGTGGGTAGTGGGGCAAGTTGGGAAGAGCTCGACACTCAACACTCAAGTTGGATTTTTGTCGTCCTCCGATCACTCACTATCAAGCACGCGCGCAGTGGCTGATGTAGCAATAATATATATGCGCGCCACCATCTCGCTGCTCATGCGCAGCGAAGTGCTAGCACGTGCATATACTGTTCCATAAACTGTATACTACTTGATTACAACTTTGTACTGACCACACCGTAAATAGTGAGTAGTTTACACCGTTGTTACTGTGTATAATCAGTAATTAGTTTAAAAGGTTCGAGCCTTAAGTTACACCTGTAAATCAGGAAGAGCATCTCGTGAGCACGGCACCGGCGGCAAACGCACCTCCGTGTAGTCAAGCGTCTACATCCGAGGTTTTTCCGTAACTCACGTGCAGCTATCGACATCGATGCTGTCATCCCAACTCTTCCTTCCCTTAGCCTATCTCACAAGTGTCCACATGCCCTCGACGCCATGATCATAGGACGGCAGAAGAAGATGGCCGGCCGGCGACCATGTACAGCGCGGTCGCTTTCAGGGCAACTCCCAAACCGCGACGGTGCCCGAAACGACTGCTCAGCCAACGACTATCGCCAGCGTGCCGTTCTCTGTGGCAACAGCTCGTCATGTGAAGATTCGCGGGGTCGAAACTTGCAGTTGGCCTGCCATCTTGAATCACCCGGACGCGCGCCCCGACTGTCGCGGCTCGCCCCTTAGAGTGAACCCCTAGACGCTCGGATAAACCTCGGCGCAATCCCCATGGGGTATACCCTCATCCCTCATCCCATTCTGCTATAAGAGCCCTTCACCATCCCTTCTCATCCCACCTCTTCTCGCTGCGCGCATCTAAACGACGCGCACAGCTCTCTTCACGTCGCCCTCTCAACCATGTCCAGTTTCGCAAACGCCAACATCGAGGAGGTCGTCGAGCAGCTCACTGTTGATGAAGCCATCCTCCTAACCGCAGGTGTCGGTTTCTGGCACACCCACCCCGTCCCTCGTCTCGGTATCCCTGCGATCAAAGTCACGGACGGCCCTAATGGTACGTGCGTGTGTGTATTCTTTGCATCTCGCTGACCCGCTGCTCTCCATCAGGTGCTCGCGGGAACTACTTCTTCATGAGTACTCCCGCCAAGTGTCTTCCTAGTTCCACCGCGATGGGCGCCACCTTCGACACCGCCCTCATGGAGCGCGTAGCTCGCGAGCTCCTTGCCCCCGAAGTCAAGCTCAAGGCTGCTTCCATCATCCTCGGCCCCACCTGCAACACCCAGCGCAACCCGCTCGGTGGCCGCTCCTTCGAGTCCTTCTCCGAGGACCCGCACCTTTCTGGCATGATCGCTGCGGCATACTGTAAAGGTGTCCAGGCTGGTGGTATCGGCGCATGCATCAAGCACTTTGTCGGAAACGACAAGGAGAACGACCGCTTCGCGTACGACTCGATTATGACCCCGCGCGCTCTGCGCGAGATCTACCTGATGCCGTTCATGCTCGCGGAGAAGTACGCGAAGCCGTGGGCTTACATGACTGCGTAAGCTCTCCTCCTGCGCTCCTATCTCTGTCCGGGCGTTGACCGCGATTGCAGCTACAACCGCGTCAACGGAACGCACCTTTCAGAGAACCCCGCAATCATTCGCGACATTCTCCGCAACGATTGGGGAAGCGACGCGATGGTCATGAGCGACTGGTAAGCCCCTTCATCTGAGCTTCGGCTCGCACGTCGCTGAGCTTTCCCGCAGGTTCGGCGTGTACTCCATCGACGGCTCCATCAACGCTGGTCTCGATCTTGAGATGCCTGGTACCAACAAATGGCGGTCGCTGGATCTCATGAACCGCACGTATGTGTCCCATCTGATATGTTACGCGAGCTTCTGCTCATCTACATGCACCTGACCAGGATCGCGTCGAGGAAGATTACCATTCGTACAGTGAAGGAGCGCGCGACCAAGGTCCTCCAGCTGGTCCAGAAGTGTGCCAAGGGTGCCCCCGAGGTATGGTGCTTCGATCAACCCAGGCATGTCACTAACCCTCCTCGGCAGGTTTTGGACGGTGACCATGAGGAGCGGACGGGTGACCGTCAGAGTGGCCGCGATATCATGACTGACCTTGCGACTCAGTCCATTGTTCTTCTCAAGAACGAGGGCGGGCTCTTGCCTCTGAAGCCCAAGGAACAAGGAATCAAGAAGATCGCTATCATCGGCGGGAATACAAAGGCCATCGTCTTGAGCGGTGGTGGATCCGCCGCTCTCAAGCCCAGCTTTTTCGTGTCGCCCTACGAGGGTCTGGCCTCCGCGATTGGCAAGTTGGACAAGGATGTCGAGATCACCTACGGAGAGGGTGCTCGGGGTGCGCTATCTTTGTTTTTATTTCGGAACGACATGAAATTGACCGTTTCTTCAGCATACATGCAGCTTCCAACGCTTGAGAATGAGCTCGAGACTGAGGACGGCCAACCTGGCTGGACGGGCCACTTCTACTCACACGAGGATGATGAGAGCATGACGGCCCTGAAGGACCCGAAGGTGACGCGATACATCGATGAGACGCGTGTCTTCCTCAGGTACGTCTCCAGTTGTTGTTGTTACGTGCTATCGCTAACTTCACCCCCAGCATCGACTACCCGAAGGAGCTCACGAAGCGCTTCACTCTCCGCCTGCGCGGCTTCATGAAGCCGCGCGAGAAGGACACCGATTACGAGTTCGGCCTTCTCTCGGCCGGTCGTGCGAAGCTCTTCATCGACGGCAAGGAGGTCATCGACAACTGGACGCGCCAGATCCGCGGCGATGCCTTCTTCGCCACGGGCTCGACTGAGGTCTACGGCACCACGACTCTCAAGGCGGGCGTCAAGCACGAGGTCCTCGTCGAGTTCATGAACGTCCGCGCGCCCTCAGACTCGGACCCGATCGAGGCCCTGATGGACACCAACGCCGGCGTACGCCTCGGGGGGCAAGTGGTCGAGCACCCCGACGAGCTCATGGCCGCCGCGGTGAAGCTCGCGTCGGAGGCGGACGCGGTCATCGCCGTCGTCGGCCTGAACGCGGACTGGGAGACGGAGGGGTACGACCGGACGACGCTCGCGTTGCCTGGGCGGACGGACGAGCTGGTGCGCAAGGTCGCCGCGGCGAACAAGCGCACGATCGTGGTCACCCAGAGCGGGTCGAGCATCACGATGCCGTGGGCGGACGACGTGCCGGCGATCGTGCACGCGTGGTACGGCGGGAACGCGACCGGGGACGCGATCGGCCGCGTCGTCTCGGGCGAGGTCAACCCGAGCGGGCGCATGAGCCTGACGTTCCCCAAGCGGCTCGAGGACGTCCCCAGCCAGGGCCACTTCCACCACGAGCACGGCACGGTGTGGTACTCGGAGGACCTCTTCGTCGGCTACAAGCACTTCCACCACCGCGCGATCGAGCCCCAGTGGCACTTCGGGTGCGTTCTCTCTCGCACGGCTCTCGCTCTTGCTGACGCGCGCCGAACAGCCACGGCCTCTCCTACACGACGTTCGAGTACTCGGACCTTACCCTCACCGCGCCCGTCACGGCCGACGGCGACGTGCGCCTCGCGGCGACGATCACCGTCGCGAACACGGGCGCGCTGGCGGGTACGGACGTCGTCCAGCTCTACGTGTCGCTCCCGGCGACGTCCGAGCTGACGCACCCGCCGCTGATGCTCAAGGCGTTCGCGAAGGTGTCCGTCGCGCCCGGCGCGCGCGAGACCGTCACGCTCGCACTCGACAAGTACGCGGTCTCGTTCTGGGAGGAGCGCATCCGCCGCTGGGTTGTCGAGCCGGGCGTGTACCGCGTGCGCGTCGGCCGGAGCAGTGCGCCCGCGGAGCTCAAGCACGTTGCGGAGTTCAAGATCGCGAAGCGGTTCGAGTGGACGGGTGTGTAAGGCGGTATTGGAAGAAGTGGATGCGCCGTATGTATAATGTATCATATCGACACGGCCATGAATGCGTTTTTGGATTTTCAGATCTCGCCTTTGTGACGTGACTTGCGTGTCCAGTCATTGTCACTCGGTGACTGTTGGTGTTCTCCTCGGATTCAAAATGCGACAACCTAGCCACGTCCTACTCCTTCAATCACTTACCAAAGGTGAGCATACGCATTCTTTGTTTCATAGCTGATATTATGGTTTACCTCGCTCTTACTAGCATCCAATCATCTGGCCAACTTATCCACACAGACCTATTGGTGGAACATACCCATTTTCATGGTGGGAATATGCTCCGGGGATGCTCGAGTGTTTCATCCAATGCGGGGAAGACCACTGTGAACGTGCGTACTATCCATTCATCCATGCTGAGAACACACTCCTGTGCGCTGTTCCAGATGGTGCTGGCATAAGTACAGCCAAGCCCGCAGCGAACTTCGTTTCAAGCCTACTACCCGGTGCGCAGCCATGTTCGGCACCGTCAGGCTTCCACGAGTGAACGACATCTCATTGACGACCTTTCCGTGTCTAGGATCGCATTGTTCTTGCTGCGCATCTCCAGTGATCGGATACATATTTTTGGACCATGCGCTACGTCGAGGTCATCCAGGGTCATCCTGGTGCTGCGAATTACTCATCCGACGATCGCTCACGCAGTCTGAGCCGTTCGCTCTTCTCCGCGGTTCTTGGATTTTGCAGGCGTCCACGCAAAGGTGGGCGGTAGCAGGCGGGTATAAAGCCCACTCCTCGCTGCCACTCACTACATCTCCAACTCGCTCATTCACTCTACATTCTTCATTCGTCAAGTTATACTAGGCAACTCGTCTCACCCTTCCTAAACTACTTCAATATTTCCATCATGAAGTCTACTTTCGCGTCGCTCGTGCTCGCCTGCGCGTTGCTCTTCGGTCAGAGTAAGTTCCCCTATGGCTTCCGACACGACCTAGTACATGCTAACTTCCTTTCACTCCAGGCTTTGCCGTCC